GTCCAGGCTCAGCTCGCGCTCATTCAGGCCGAGGAACAGCGCCAGGCGGCAGCCGAGGCTGCCCGCCTACAGGCTGAGGCGGCAGCGGCAGCTGAAAGGCAGCGGCTTCAGGCCGAAGCCGAGGCACACACCAGGGCACGCCGAAAGGAAGCCCAGGAGCTGCTGCAGCGCCATGAAGCAGCAAGCATCGAAAGACTCAAGTACTGGCACTTTGAACCAAACGGCGACGAGCCGACACTGGAAGAGCAACACGAGGAGTTTCTCTCCAAGCTCGTGTCACGCCTGTTGTATACTTGCAACTACCAACGGGCCGAACTAGAGAAACAGCACCAAGAGTTGGCAGACCTCCGCCGAATAGTGCAGGGCCACGAGGATGCAACACAGGCAATCAATGCCCGTGTACTGGACCTGGAACAGTTTGTACCAGGACCAGATGCTGGTACGTCCAACAGTGAACCCTCTAGTCGCCAACTGGAGGAACGCGTTGACCACGTAGTGGCTATGCTCGGCGACATCAGTGCTTTCGCTGCACCTACCACCATCAGCAGTCAGCTGCACACCTTGAAGACCGAGGTCCAGCAGCTGCACTCGACGAACTCGGAGGGCAATCCTAAGTTGTACAAGATGCCAACCTTCCAACTCGAGAAGTTCGACGACTACACGCATCAGGATCTGGTCCTCTGGTGGGAAGCATTCACGACGCAGCTTCGGATCCTGCCAGTCGCCAAGCACGCATACATCGGTGCCCTTTTCCTTAACTCAAAGGGCGCATGCCTGACTTGGTTGACCCATCTGGCAGCCACTCACGGCGTCGACGTGGTAGATCTTCGAGACAAGATCACATGGGAGGAGTTGACACGGTTGTGGAAGAAGAGGTTCATCGTCGACGACGCGCCGGCCCTCGCCATCAACCGCCTCTTCACCATGACCCAAGGCAACACGGCAACACGAGACTGGCTCACGGAATGGCAAAAGATCGCGACAACGCCGGATCTGGACTTGCCATTTACGCATCTGCGCTGAGAGTTCTACAATAGGTCATGTGCTGCACTAAGCCATGCACTTGGTGATCGCGAGCAGTACTCAACCTTCGCTGAGATCATCGACAAAGCGAGGGAGATCATCAAGACTAATAGGGCGGCTGCACACGAGAAATCAGCATGGCAGCCAACCTATGTGGAGAAGGTAAAGACTGGTCCGCGGCAGCAGCATTTCGCTGCAGTCCAATCGGACAGTGGAGACGATCCGACAACCACCAAGGCATCAAGTGAAGGAGATCAGGTGGCTGCTGTCCAGCCGAGAAGCACCAACAAGTCCCGGAACAATGGGAAGGCGAAGACCACATCATCGGTTGGAACAGGACAGCCAGCGCCATGGGTCAAGTTTAACTTGACCGAGGCCGAATACAAGTACCGTGGTCGGTACGGCTACTGCTACTGGTGCAATAGCACCAAGCACAAGACCTCCCTCTGCCAGGACAAGGAGAAGGAGGATGTTCAGCCACGCAACAACTCGGGAAACTGAGTAGCGCGGGAGGTGAGGCGACTCCACCTCCCACTCCGCCAGATCCGGCCGCCTTGCTAGCGGCCTCCTACACATCTGGGGAGGATGCGAATGTCCCAAGTTCTCGTGTCACTTACGAGGACTATGCTGTCCACTTGGTCCCACCGCTGGACCAACCACTCCACGTGCAACACTCCACCGCATGCACGGTTTCATCTCCATCGGCAACCGATTCGGCAGTTCCGCCATCATTTACCTCAGGGGATTCGTCGATGTGGTCAAGACTTGAAGAGCTTGACTCGTTGACAGTCGCGGACTTCCAGTGGATGCCCGTTCCCCCGACCGGTCGATTGTCGAAACCGCATTACAATGTGCTCATGGCACAATTGCGGGAGTATTTGCACACTGCAGTACCAACTCCGTTGATGGACGCCGGAGTAGAGGTTGTCGACCTTAAGGAGTACATCGCGAAGATCGACCGCGAGTTCAAGACACAACGGTACGACGACATTGACGCACCATTGTTGTATGTACGCATTCAGATCGGAGAGGCGACCTGCAGCGCCTTGATCGATTGCGGTGCAACTCGCAACTACATGAGTCAGGACTTCATGGTTCGCGCCGACCTTGGCCCACGCGTCAGGAGGAAGTCCCATCCGACACACGTGACGTTGGCCGATGGTCACACGCACAAGTCAATTGACCGGTGCATTGACAACG